TTACCGTTGTACCTTTGTCATAAGAAATAAATGATTTCCTAGCAAAAATCTGCAATCCCTTCTCGCTCATATGACCCATCCTTTTGTGCCACAAATCTATAGAAATCTCATCTTGTGTCGCGTTCAATACACCTTGGTATATTTCTACATTTGTACGGTACAACGTGCCACGAACAACTCCCTTTGCAATCACCAATGATCCCTTGGTGAATCTCCACTTTTGATTTGCAAAATAGTTCTCGTATCCATCTCAGTCTAAAGCAATTCCCGAGATCAAGTTCATCCGCAAATAAGATACATGTCGTACGTCCTTTAGAACCAATGTGCATTCGACATTTGTCTTTATACAAATGTCACCAATCCCCGCAATCTTTGAATAACTTGTGTTACCTATTCTCACAGTGCCGAAATCACATACTATTACAAAAACGATCTCTTGCCGGTGTGGCATGGTAAGATGTTGTTGTATCAACCACCCATTCCGACTCCGGACCTGACAAGTGCATGCATTCATCTTTCTCGTTTATAAAGAGGACAACATTATTATTATTTTGCACCATGGCGGTTGTGTTGTCATCATTCTTCTGGCCACTGCTTTCACCTTTGCCTTTCCTTGGATTTGGGCAATCTCTTTTGAAGTGACCTGGTTGATCGCAATTGTAGCACTTTTTGTCTCTTGATTTGGATCGGTTCTTAGACTTCCCATGAGCTCCGGATCTACCATAGTTGCTCGAACTTCTTTGATAACTCCTGCCTCTACCTTCTGTGATGAGAGTATGTCCTTGATTTTCAGGCTTATTTCTCATCTTCTCATTGAGTAGAAGAGTTGATGTGACGTCTTTCAACTCAATAGTAGTCTTACCATGCAGGATGGTTGTTTCCAAATTATCATAGGAAGATGGCAACGAGTTCAATAGCAATATGGATTTATCTTCTTCCTTGATTTTCACTCCGAGATTGGAGAGCTTTGTGATTAGTCCGTTAAACATATTTAAATGTGACAAAAATTTCGTACCTTCACCCATGTGTAGGGCGTATAGCTTCTTCTTCAGGTACAATTTAGTTGTTAGTGTTTTAGACATGTATAGGCTTTCCAACTTTGTCCAAATGTCACGTGCGGTGTCTTCATCAATGAAGTTATTTACCACATCATCTGATAAGTGCAACCTGATTGCATTAGCAGTCCTTTCATCCAAGTCAGTCAAATCCTCAACTTTCATGGTATCAGGCTTTTTGGCATCAACATCTAGTACCTTGTGTAATCCTTGTTGGATAAGCAGAACCCTCATTCTTCTTTGCCATGTTGAGAAACCGTTATCTCCGTTGAATTTTGCTACCTCGTACTTTACTCCGAATATTTCTTTTTACCGAGTATAGTACTACCGACAGCTAATAGTACTTCTGTGAGCGAGCAGAACCTGTGCTCTGATACCAGTTATTGAAAATAAACCCCCTACAAAAATAATATTCACAATAATAAAAACGAAATGATAACGTAGAACCGAGATACGATAATTAACAAGAATAAAAGAGTGACAACAACACTAAGATTGTTTACGTGGATAACCCTTTTGAATAAGGGAAAAACCACGACCCCGAAACGAGCAACTGATATCACTATAGAAAGGAATTTTACACTTTGTAGGTCCGAGTAAAATACTCCAAAGACTACTATAACACTCAAAAGAAATAACTCTCTTTTGATATTCTTACCTCACTACAATATCACTCACTCTCTATTTTTCTCACTAGCTATTTTCTTTTACCTTGTCTGTGAAACCTCATTCTTTCTTTCTCTCTTTTTTGGTGTGTAGAAATGAGATCTGAAGCTCTCCTTTTATAATCGAAGCCTCACTCTCTAAAGTCTACTATATTTGACAACTTGCACATACTTTTTCTTCTTTTTCTTCAATGTTAACAATTTAACAAAATTGGCTACCAAACTAAAGAAATTCAACAAAGTTAGGCTACCAAACCAAAGAAATTTTCAGCCAAATATTTTCCTTAGGCACATGTTTATTACTTTGATTTTTGAATGAGATGGATCCCATCATGTACAAGTAAAGATGTTTATAAAAAGCCCTTCACGTGTAAAATAAAAATGTCAAAGAAAGAAGACAATTATAAAACAAACAAAGAGAAAAAGCAAATTATATGTTTGTCTTCAAAGGAGAAAAAGCAGTATGAAACAGAATGTTAGGCGAAAGATTTTATCTTCGAATTCTTTTTTTATGACGTAAGTGATTACTTCAACAAGGCATTCAGATGCCTATAAAAGAGATATTTGCCTTTTCATTTGCAGATTATCCTCACAACTTCTTATTTATCTTTGATAAATAAAGAGTTATTCTATTGTGTGCATTCACATCACATTTGTCTATTTTCATGATTTGGTTCTATACATAATACTTCTGATAATTTCCCCAAAGTTCACATGCAATTTTCTGTTGAAATAACATTTGCCCCAATTATTTGTGGTGTATGTATGTACAAGTAAAGATGTTTATACAAAGCCCTGCACGTGTAAAATAAAAATGTCAAAGAAAGAAGACAATTATAAAACAAACAAAGTGAAAAAGCAAATTATATGTTTGTCTTCAAAGGAGAAAAAGCAGTATGAAACAGAATGTTAGGCGAAAGATTTTATCTTCGAATTCTTTTTTTATGACGTAAGTGATTACTTTAGCAAGGCATTCAGATGCCTATAAAAGAGATATTTGCCTTTTCATTTGAAGATTATCCTCACAACTTCTTATTTATCTTTGATAAATAAAGAGTTATTCTATTGTGTGCATTCACATCACATTTGTCTATTTTCATGATTTGGTTCTATACATAATACTTCTGATAATTTCCCCAAAGTTCACATGCAATTTTCTGTTGAAATAACATTTACCCCAATTGTTTGTGGTGTATGTACAAGTAAAGATGTTTACATTCAGGGGCGGTCCAACGAATTTTGTGGCCTAAAGGCAAACTTTATGAGGGGCCTTAACTTTTTTAAAATCATTATTATTTTTTATTTGAAGTCATTTTTCTAACTTCTTTTAGATGCAAAGTTATTAATAATTTTCTTATAATCAATTTCTCTTAATAAGTCTTTCCCAAATGACAGTATAGCTAATCCATTATTTAACCTCTCTTGAGATATTGTTGATCTTAAGGTAAGATTTTATCAATTTTAATTTTGAAAAACTTCTTTCCACTGAAGCAACTGTAACAGGAGTTATTAACATTATTTTATAAGAAATATAGGCATTTGAAAAGAAAAAAAAAATTATTTGTTGGAGTATATCAATTAAACTGTTATCTTCTAATTGTACTATTTTTCTTAACACTTTTAATTCAGAAAATAAATCTAAATCATGAATATCGGATTGATTATTATGATTTATTGAACATTCAAGATTAAGTTAATATATTTTTCAAATTTTCATCATTTAGTGATCTTAGTTTTTTACGCTAAGAGAAAATAAAAAATATTTTCATATGCTTCGAGTTGTTCAAATCAATTTATACTATGTATAAAAAGTAATCAACTCTATAGGACACTTCGAGAGATTTTGAGATTTCATTATCATCATTCTCATCAAATTATTTGTTCGTATATATCACATGTTTCTTACGAAATTCAGGTTCAATATTCAGTTCAAATGCAATATCCTTGGCAGAAATCATAGCAGTTGGAAATCTTTCTTCTCTATATTTTTAAAGAAAGAAATCAAACTTTTTCACACACAAAACTTTTTTTCTAAACTTATATATAGCCTATTAGGTGTAACAAAAAATAGGGGCCCCCATAAATGTGAGGCCTAAAACAGTTACTTTACTTGCTTTAGAGAAGGGTCGCTTATTCGCTTATACTATTAGATTGCATGAGACTATCCTTAATAAGTGGGATTTGTAACCTGAAAATTAAGCTTGTAACTGCTACAATAAGTTAAATTACGCTAAAAATATGAAAATGCAATTTAACCTGTTGTAGCAAGTTAACTGCCTTATTTTTGGATTACTAGTTTCAATGTAAACACATGAATGGGACAAATTTGGATGGTCTAGTTTTCTTTGTCAATTTTGCAAATGGAGACGACTTCTAGAGGCCCATGTTCTTATGTTAGTTGCTAACAACTACGCTTAGGCATTGAGTCGAGCGAGCTGAGCCTAGTCTAGTATGGAACCGTACCAATTGAGCTTTGTTAAAGTATAACAAAACTTGAGGCAAACTCAAGCCGACTCTTTAATGTTTCGTTTTTTATGCGTCGCTATGCCTCTAGAAAATCTTAAATTCATAATAAACCGACTAGTTAAGAAAAATATAAGAATTAATTGCGTTAATTGATAATTAAATTGAAACGAGACTGAACGATATAAGTCGCTAGTTTGATTTAGAACTCAAATTCGAATTTAGTTAATTAAATTTTGAACAAAACATGGAACCTCCAAAGCAAAGAAATCAATAAATACAAAAAATTGTACTGAATTAAATACATCAATTTTTTATGCAATATGTTTTGAATTCTTGTATTTAAAAGTAGGATTAAGTTACAATATAATGTGATCATTAAAAATTTAATTATATCAAATAAAGTAGTAGAATACTTCAATTTTTTATAGTAAAATAATCATTAATATTAGTATTAATCAACTTTATAATTAAGCTAATAGATAAATTTTAGTTTTAAAGTAATTATTACACGACTCAACTTAGTTTAGCTGGATGTTAGTCCGATTCCGCCTAGAGAAGGGTTTTGTTTACTTTTCCAGGTTACATAAACACCGCAATCTATAAATTATGAATGTAAAAACTTCTAAGCCACAATCATGATAAGTTACTTAAAGTTTTCCCCCTCCTTGATAAGTGGCTTGGTATTGCACTTCGGAACGGTGTAAAACATCTAGTGTATACAGATACTAGCTCTTCGATAATATACCTCTTTCCTATTTTCAAAATCTTGGACGCAAAATCCTTAAGAGAATTGGTTGTAACAGATTGTGAACTAATGACTGTTTCACTGTCTAGTGGTGTGGCGAACTGCAATTCTTTGAGAAAGCTTTTTCTATCCGAGGTCTTCTTAAACGACAACATACTTCAGACTCTACTCACTAGTTGTCCCTTGATTGAAAGTTTCATCCTTAAGCATTGCTTTGGATTGGAAAAGATTGAGTTGTCGAATCTTCAAAAGATCAGGTCAGTTTCCATTTGGACACTTGGAAAGCAACATGTCAAAATCCAAGCACCAACTCTAGAACGCTTGCTTTATTGTGGTCATATTAAAGAGCCTCGTTTGTTGGATATTGTTGAATGTCAGAGTCTGAAATCTTTAAAGCTCTCATGTGTGTGTATATTTGATGGATTTCTCCAGCACCTTTTTTGTAGATCCCAATCCCTTGAGAGTATAACCATAGATGGAGAGATTGATGCTTCAGACTTGGTACCACTTGAGTATATGGGAGATCAAATTCCTAAGTTTAAAATTGCAAAAGAGTCAAGTCAATTGAAGCACTCACGTATCGTTCTTGATTGCTGGTCTGGGAATTTAAATGCTTCATGGTTCTTTAAGTTGAGGAAATTCCTATCAAATTTGATCTCTTGGTCTCAAGTTTCTCTTGATTTTCACATATGCAATGAGATTGACGGGAAAGATATGCAACTGCACCACATAGGTGCTCCCCCCAAAGTGGACGTTTTAAATGTAGATATAAAGTCAGATAGAGGGTTCCCAACTTTTGTGGATGCTTTGCTATGGAGTTGTCATTCTAGGAAACTCATCCTAACCTCAAGTATTGAGATGATTACATGTTTCATGGATCGTTTAATGTTTATGAAGAATTTAAGTCATTCTACTTCTCGTGGTAGCAAGTCTAGGCATAATCAATTAAAAGAAATAAAAGTATTTGATGAGAAAAATCAACCTCTGGAACTCAGAAGCGGGAAGTTGGCAATAAGGAACCTCATGAAGAGGGAGAAAGTTTACTTTTTATTAGATTGGTGGTGATGCAGTTAGTTTATCTCTATTTCAAATTGAATGCACTTATTCGTTTACAAAGTTATTATATCTATTAAGATAGATTCTAGATGATCAAGAACTTCAAATTTTTGAAGTTTTCTTAAAAAGGGTCTTTTGTCAAATTGACTAAGTTGGCACAGAGACTCTGTGTTTAGTGTTCTGTTTTCTCTTCAATTCATGTGAATTTGTTGTACGTTTGTTAACTTACTAGTTCTTGACACGCTGCGTTGGACGTGCATTACTGAAATGCTTATTTTGAGGTTGATTTAATAGTTCTCCATGGTGTTTATTCTTGAGGTACCAAAATACACCTTGAAATAATTCTTATATTCACTGCCCCTACCATTAATTTGGCTAATTTGAAAACTATTTATTATGACATAAGCTTATCATTCGGTCATGAGTTTTTCTAAAATAATTTTGCATATATAGTTGAAAATTTCTTCTAATATGTTAATTGTTTGCAGCCATAATGTGTAATTTTATATGATTTAGTTTGAAGGTTATTTTAATCTTTTTGCAACAATCTATATTCTATACTATATTAATATTAGAAAGTACATATAAGATTGACATACTCGTATTATGTTAATAATGTTTTAACATATTGGATATCTTTCCCCAAATATGGCTCAATACGCAAAAGTAAAGTTAATACATATATTGTAATTGATCTAAATCACTCTAAAGAGGAATTTTCAAACCATTCAAAGTAATACCCCAAATCTTGAAATTGTTATTCTGCTACTTAGCTAGTGTATTTTGCAAAATATGTTTGCATTTTATCGATAAAAGATTCTTTATTCCCGAGCTCGAGGAGAGTTCATGCGTGAAATTTCTTTGAATTTCTTTGTTGAATAGAGGTGAGTTCAAGGTTCTTTGATCGGGAAATGCATGCACTTTAAAAATCATTATTATCACCAACTCAAGAAATAATGCACCAATAAGCAGGCAAGCAAGATTTTGTAAAGATGGATGTCCATCCAATTGGACCGAGTAGTGATTGGCATTGATGCAAAGCCAATAAAAAATATTATCACAACATACTGCGAAAACAAAAGTTGCACCAAAATTACTTAACATCATCAAATTTATATTCTTGTCCAAATTTCAAATTTATATTCTTGTCCAAATTTAAGCAAGTTCTCTTGTAATTAAAAAAAAAATACCAAATGGAATATAAAATTTAGACTCAATCCAACTACAATATAAAGGTATTTAGATCCTTTTCAAATGTTATTCACGATTAAGCCATGAGCATATCGTCTTACCTCCCTCTCAGAGTCTTGCAACNAGAGTAGCAAGTCAAGACCAACAGAAGGGTGCATTGTTTATTTGTTACCTTTATCTTGTTAAAAAGTAACAAAGAATGATGTCAATTTTACAACCCTGAGTTAATCCACAGGATATTATTCAGCACCAAATTTAAATGTTAATATTACGGCTTTTCCAGAGTCTTATCCTGCATCACCGGCCAAAGTCCTTGTCATTTGAGATAAAATCAAGATTCACATTGAAAAAGAAAAAATATTATAGAAGCACGGGTAGATATATTTATCTACTTGGGTGCTAAAAGTTTTACATGATTGAACTAACAGTTCTAGGTCCTAATAAAAGCATTTTTAGATAGAAGTATGTCTATTTCTCAAAATATTGATGCTAAAACACAACATTAATAAGACAACAATTGCATAAAAAAATTATTAATTGAAATTTCAGGTTTGAGAAAATAAAAACGAAAAGACAAAATACTAAAACTGTGAAAATATGGGAAGAAGTAACCATGTGATAATTAAATCTTTACTTGAGGAAACTTTCTACAGTATCGATTACACAATCAAATAGGAAAATACTCAGGAAAAAAATTGCAAAAAATTGTGTCAAAGGAAAAAGAATCATGTTAGAAAGAAATGTCGCCTACCTCATTTGTATTGGTGCAATTCCTAATAGAGTTCTATCGAATTGTCAATAAAAGCATCACGTCAATTGTTATTCCCCGGAAAGGAAAATCATCTCATAAGCTGTTGAAACAAAATTTCAGCTCTTTACTTTCATGTGAGAGATCAAACTCTTAAACATCAATTAAACAATATGATTTATATGATAAATGAGAAGTAAGAAGAAAAATTGACCCAAAAAAAAGAGCTTAAAACAACTTGCACGAAGAAATACCTCATATGTGCTCTCTAAACCAAATTCAAATAGTAGATAGTATTGTCAATAGAAGAAAAGTAAAAGATGATGTATATATTTGAGGAGCAGAAGAAACATGTATCATTGGGAAATGCAAGAGACAACAGTTTCTTTAGAAGACTAATAATGAATACATAGTTGTCTTTTCATTTGCATTCAGATTTAGAATAATTGAACTTAGCGTAAAAATGCACGATACTTAAAAGAGTACAATAACAATTGTAATTGAAGAAATATATATACGTGGATTATATATTTTGTACAAACATGTTATATCATAAAAAGATTGAAATCATTTAATGAAAAGTTCTTTTTTCAAGGACTAAATGGTCACTTAGATTTTAAAGGACATTTTTATAAATCAATTTTGAAGGTAGTTCTTCCTACTTTTAGTATAATATGATTAGATTGGTGATACAGTTAGTTTGTCTCTATTTCAAAGTGAATGCACTTATTCGTTTATAAAGTTACTACTATATCTTTTAGGATAGATTCTAGATAATTAAGAAGTTCAAATTTATGAAGATTTCCTAAAAGGGGTCTTTTTGTGATATATGAGTAATTTGGCACAGAGGCGCTATGTTTGGTGTTCTATTCTCTTTCCAGTTCATGTGAATTTGTTGTATGTTCTTTGACATATCAATGCTGTTCAGCAGATGACTTGAAACATTTATAGTTATTGGAATCTATTAGAGAATTCTGCACAAATATGAAAGATAGCAAGCTAGCATCTTGGGAAAAGCAATACATTTCCAACAGGTGGCAGGTTGACACTAATAAACAGTGTATTCGATGGGGTTCCGGTAAAGTGGCAAGGCAATTGGATATAGAGGATAAGGAGCAGTTTTCTCTGGGAAGGAAATCAAGACTAGGAAAAAAAACACTTGGTTGAATGGAGCATAGTCACTTGTGGTAGGAAAATGGGCGGCTTGGGTGATAAAAGCTTTCTACTAAAGTGGCAGTGGAGATTTAGGGTGTGTTTTGTAGAAAGAAAACATTTTCCGGAAACATAGGGATTTTGGGGAGGGGGTAAGGAAAATTTCTAAAAAATATTTTCTACTCTCTAAACAAACATCAGAAAATATTTTTTGAAAAAGATTTTTAATTCACTCATCAACCAAATATGGGAAAATAAATGATAAAACCACTCATTTTTCAAGAAAATATTTTCCATTAAAAATATTTTCCTTCGTACCAAACACACCTGGGAGCATTCAGCAAGCTGCTGCAGGCAGCTTTGGAGATCAGTTCCTATATGCATATTTTGTGAGTCTTTGGCTTAAGAGAAATAGTAGATGTTTTAGTGAGAAGAATGAGCATATGTCTTTTGCAACAACTAAGTGTTTTAGGAGTCTTTTCTGAGCGTATNTGTATTAAATAAAACTTTACCCTTTTCATCTAAAAAATGATAATGCCAAAGTGAAAAAGATTCAACCTTTGATTGACCAAATAAGTAAAAGAATGAAGAACATACTCTATCTATTAGCAGCAAGGAAAAACACCAAATAGATGCTATGTCCCTCGTTCTATAATTCCTCAGATTCCTCTTTTTTTCCTATTAAGTTTTCCGATAAAGAATATTAGTGAACGAAGCCCCTAGATCAAACAATAAACCATAAGAAAATAGCCATTACAACCATAAGAAAGTGAAAAGCGCAGGCTCCTGCAAGGATTTAGGTTACAAAAGAACCATAAAAAATCTAAGCAGCACAGGCAAGATCAATACTACATAGTAAATACCAACATCAACTAGACACTACCTTTGACAAATACGATAAATGAAAGCATAAGGTTGATAGGTTGCAAAATGACAAAGATATGGCACCAATAGGTTGTAGCAAACATAGGTACGCCTTGTTTAATACACATATAATGAAAATTAACATATCGATATGAACACTAACGAGGCGATGCAATGCTTCATCGTCAAAATTCATGCAGTCAGCAATAGATGGATAAATTGCTCCCTATAACAGCTTCCGCTCCTGAAAGTTTAACAGTAGAAATGAAATAAGAATAACACCTTATTGATCTTTCATGATTCATGACTAGTAAAAGTGAGGTATATAAAGACAACATATAGGACTATCCTTGAGCACGGTCATACATTTTAACATGCACCAAACATCAAATAAGTTTGTATCGTGTTTTAAGACTTACTAGTATATTTGGATGGGGTCCCGGGGGCCTAGGGTATGTTTCGGATCAAGTTCAGACTCATTTTGGACTTTGTTGGATTGCCGATTTCTGGGTATATGGTTTTCTCTTTCGCGTTCGCGAGGAGAGGGTCGCGATCGCGATCGCGAAAGGTCAACATGTGAGTATTTGTTCTATGAGTTTAAGGACGTGATCGCGAAGCTTTGAGTGGTTGTTCAACGCGAACATGAGTGCCGGGACGCGTTCGCGAAGAAGGAAGGAGAGGTCTGGGAATTTCATGCGGTTGTTCATCACGATCGCGTGAGGCTATCCGCGATTACGTAGGTTTGGGAGACTGATCAACGTGTTCGCGTCCTAGTGATCGCGTTCGCATATGAGGTTTTTGCTACTTGATATTTTTGTTCTTCGCGACCACGAAGTGTAATAACTGGGTAGCAGGTTTTAAATTCCAAATCGAATGTTAGAGTACTATTTTCATATTTTGAGTTGTAGAGTTCGGTTTTAGGCGATTTTAGAGGGGACTTTCACGACTTGGATTAGGGTAAGTATTGTTTACTCAAATTTATCATTATTCCATGATTTTATCTTTATTTTAGTATTTAATTAGTGAATAGTGTGTAGAAATGGGGAATTTTGTA